GAGGCCGGAAACAGGCCTGTTTCTGGCCTTCCCGAACTTCCGGTAGGCCCATTTTTCACCCTCCCCGAGCCTCTGCGCACGCCCTGCACTTACCTGTATCCAAAATGGGTCGCGTGGGGACTCCTAGGAGGGGCCAGCCAGGAGTGGGATTTGGGGGTTCTCCAAACTGCACAGAATCTTAGCTAGAGGTTCTCCCAAACCCGTACGAACCCCCAGCAGGCCACCCCTGGTGGCAGCCCTTGCCTTAAACTGCAACCATGCATCCTTGGGTGTCATGTTTTTCTTTGGGGGAGAAAAACATTCTCCTGATTCCAACCTTTGTACTTCTTAACGGGAGACCAAAAAAATAGCTCAGCTTTTAGATCATGAATAACTTTGAACAATCTGATAGAATTACTGTAAAAACATCTCCTGCTCTCTTTTAGATATTGCTGTTTTGCATAATGTTCCTTCCCCCCCCCCACTCTTTTTTAAAGAACATCAAAGGAATGCTTGATTGCAGATGATTATTGTCAGCCAGGTGTTCTCTTATTTGATTTTGGCGGGTGCAATTTTCTGCAATAGGGTTTGATGTTCTCAGTGTACACCTACCTCGGTGTGTATTTTGTATCGTGTAAAGGCAGAAACAAGCAGGGTACAGTGCAATGTTAGAAGAAAAACATGAGATTTATCCTTGAAAGCGTTTTCCTTTATTCCTTTTATAAATTAAAAATGCATATCTTTCCATGTTTCATCTTCCAGATTAAATGTCTATTTTGATTGGCCCCAATTATGTCTGCAATATATTCTTGTATTTCTTTAAGAAAGAAATATCTTTCATGTTCAGCCTGGAAGGAAAGAATGAAGTCCTTTGGTATCAAAGTTAAGACTTCCTGGGGAGTCACAAAAATCCAGGATTAATGAGAATGAATTGGTAGAGTTTAGAATAGAATAGAATAGAATAGAATGGAATGGAATGGAATGGAATGGAATGGAATGGGAGAAGAGAAGAGAAGAGAAGAGAAGAGAAGAGAAGAGAAGAGAAGAGTTGGAAGGGACCTTGGAGATCTTCTAGTCCAACCCCCTGCCCAGGCAGGAAACCCTACACCACTTCAGACAAATGGTTATCCAATCTCTTCATAAAAACTTCCAGTGTTGGAGCATTCACAACTTCTGGAGGCAAGTTGTTCCACAGATTAATTGTTCTAACTGTCAGGAAATTTCTCCTTAGTTCTAAGTTGCTTCTCTCCTTGATGAGTTTCCACCCATTGCTTCTTGTCCTGCCTTCTGGTGCTTTGGAGAAGAGCTTGACTCCATCTTCTTTGTGGCAGCCCCTGAGATATCGGAGCACTGCTATTATGTCTCCCCTAGTCCTTCTCTTCATTAAACTAGACATACCCAGTTCCTGCAACCGTTCTTCATATGTTTTAGCCTCCAGTCCCTAATCATCTTTGTTGCTCTTCTCTGCACTCTTTCTAGAGTCTCCACATCTTTTTTACATCGTAAAAAAGTTTAAATTAGCATCCTGGTGTCTCTAATTTGTTGACTTCTGTAGGATTGCTTCATGTAGGATGGCTAAACCCAACAGGGAAAAGCACTGTGATTTTTGCGTAGTGTTACATCCAAACCAGAGTTTTTTATTTATCCTCTGAATCAGAATTGGAGCCGAGGTTTTGGTTCACAATTCTGACTTGTTAGAGAACAAACAATAGCATCGAAGTTAAAAATAAAGTTTGGAGACTGAAAATAAGATGTGCTTCTCTCTTTTCCTGCTCTAGAGTGCTTGTGATAGTATCAGTTATGTTATTCAGGTTATGTTTACACCATCTGGTATTTATGCATGTTCAGTCTTCCCCTCCAGTTTCTAAGATTGCCACCCCCATGGGTTGGTTGAAATATCATGTAATGTTGTGTTTAAACAGGTTTGTTTGGTTTGTTTGAGTAAGCCTCCAAATTCAGGAATGTGGGTTAGAATTTGCATCGCCTTGTTTTGGAAGGGTTTCCTCAAATGATCATTTGCTGTATGTGATGAAACTACAGTTTGCTGCAAATAAAGAGTTAATTGGGCCTGTATTATAAGAAGGAGAAGGTAGAAAACTAAAACTTAGAAGAGAGAAGAACAAGAAAAGGCAGTTGGAAGGGGAAGAGGAAATGGTATATAAATAGGCAATATATAAATTTGTGGTCCTTGTAAAGGAGTTCATCTTCCTTCTGCAAATAAATTTTGTTTTATGGATGTGAAGGGAAATGATTTACCTCCTGCAATAACCATTCAGATCTGAAGTTGTTACTGTGGTGAACTTGTTCTCATCGTAAAAGAGAGATAAAGTGGTACCTTATATATATTTTTTATACTACACCAGCAGTAGAAGAACCAATAAGCAAGACAGTCAACTCTAGCTTTATAATTTCGGGATGGCATCAGTGAGATTTTAAAGCACATTTATGCTCCAAATAATCCTAGATCAGGAGTCTGCAACCTTAAACACTCAAAGAGCCATTTGGACCCGTTTCCCACAGAAAAGAAAACACCAGGAGCCACAAAACCCTTCGTGTGCTGACTATTTCTTGAGAGGCCACAAAACTAGCATATGTAGTTGAATTAAACGTTCTGTTTTCTTCTGAAACTTTTCTATTTCTTGGATTATATCCATGGTTATTGAAAAGCTCAATAAATCATGTGCCGGCAGGTTTCACACATTGGTGGTTGTGACACATATTTTGAATGACGGAGCCGCAGCAGAGGGGTGAAAGAGCCACATGCGGCTCCAGAGCCGCAGGTTGCTGATCCCTGTCTTAGACATTATGCCATTTCTTATCATGGAAATCTGGTTCTGCCATGTTGTATAACAACATCTAACCGTCAATTGCATGGACTGTCTTGAATTTAGCACCCATATGCTTTTGAATATTATTCTCCTGAAGTAGTATGGAAAAAAACCAGCACAATCATTTCCTGTTCTAGTCTACTGAACACCAGCTGATTGACTGCTGTGAGAAGTTGGGCTAAATGGACTTCTGGACTTAAGACCAACAAGACGTCTGGTTTATCAAACCAGAATGTTATTAAACCAAGCATGGAAGGGGGAAAGGATGTACAAGGTTCATAAACGTGATATCCAAATATACCCAGGACTTGCCTATGGCCTCTTATGTTATCAGTGGCCCTTTTCAATGCATTTCCTAAGGTGACAAAGCACGAACAATGAACTTTACATGTCCTACATTGACCGACTCTATAAACCACTTAGAGAAGGCTGTAAAGCACTATGAAGTGGCCTATTTTAAAAAGCTGCTTGACTTTATTTGCTTTTAAGGCCACGGGTATTGATTCAAGTCAGAATAGAGCTGGAAGGGACCTTGGAGGTCTTCTAGTCCAACCCCCTGCTTAAGCAGGAGACTCTATATATCATTTCAGCAAGTGGTTGTCCAATCTCTTCTTAAAAACCTCCAGTGATGAAGCACCGCAGTTTCTGCAGGCAAGCTATTCCACTGATTAACTGTTCTCACTGTTAGGAAGTTTCCCCTTAATTCAAGATTGCTTCTCTCCTCGATTAGTTTTCATCCATTGTTTATTAGTGCATTGGAAAATAAGTTGACCTCCTCTTCTTTGGGACAGCCTCTCAGATACTGGAATACTGCTACCATGTCACCCCTAGTCCTTCTCTTTAGACTAGACCTACCCTGCAACCGTTCTCCGTATGTTCTAGTTTCCAGGCCTTGAATCATCTTAGTTGCTCTTCTCTGCACTTTTTCCAAAGCCACAATATCGTTTTTGTAATGTGGTGTCCAAAACTGGATGCAATATTCAAGATCTTGGTTTTAACTAAGGTTTTCTAAAGTGGTACTAATATCAGCCGGTCTATACAGAGCCAGGAATCCTGGCCACTGTTTCTGTGATTTGTCACATTCTTGGCATTTATTTACTTTTTAAAAATATTTTTTTATTGGTTTTCTCTTTACGTACAATATGTGCTTAATGAACAGCGTACTGTCTGAGTCAATTCTTTTACAAAGCAATACTTCTTAAGTTCCTAATTTCTACCCCTGTTAATAACAATAAAAGAGTTGAAAGGGACTTTGGAGGTCATCTAGTCCAACGCCCTGCTCACGCAGGAGACTTGTACTAGGGATTCGAACTGCCGAACTGCCAACCTTTCTGATCAACAAACTCAGTGTCTTAGTCCAACCATTGATAAAACAAATCCCAAGTTCTAAAATATTCTGTGTCTTCTTTTTCTTTTGTCTTCAGTGTTAATCTGTCCATTTCTGCACAGTCCAAGGTTTTTTTTTTAATTATATCTTCTTCCGTAGGTGTTCTTCTCGCTTTTTCCTCACATTTTTCCCCCTCCCATTGGAAAAACACATTCTTAGCATTTAGGTGTGGCTGCCTTTGTCCTTTATAAAGAGTGCCCTGTGTAACAATTTCAGCTGTTATGACTTTTTCATAAAGCCATAATCATCCAGGGATATTGAAAACAGCTTTAGGAAAGGAGAAGAGAACACGTGATGTGCAAGTACCGTGTTACTAATGCCTGTCTTAAGGACCGATCCTCAAACACTTTAAGTGATCTGCATAAAAGAGAAGGTTGGAACGGCTGATCGGTTTTGTGTCCTCAGTGGCTAAGACGCTGAGCTTGTCGATCAAAAGGTTGGCAGTTCAGCGGTTCGAATCCCTAGTGCCATGTAACGGGGTGAGCTCCCATTACTTGTCCCAGCTTCTGCCAACCTAGCAGTTTGAAAGTACATAAAAATGCAAGTAGAAAAATAGGGACCACCTTTGGTGGGAAGGCAACACCATTCCATGCACCTTTGGCATTTAGTCATGGCAAACCCATGACCACGGAGACGTCTTCGGACAGCGCTGGCTCTTTGGCTTTGAAACAGAGATGAGCACCGTCCCCTAGAGTCGGGAACGACTAGCATGTATGTGCCAGGGGAACCTTTACCTTTACCTAGTTGTGTTGGGTTCTACAAAGCTTGGATTCTCTGCGTAACAGCTTTGCTTTTTCTCCCTTCAGGGTATCAAAAAGCCTTTCACAGAAGTCATCAAGGCCAACATTGGTGATGCTCACGCCATGGGACAGCAGCCCATCACCTTCCTTCGACAGGTAGGAAGACCCTGCTGGAGGAAGACTAGACTTGAAGAAAGGCAATTGAAGTCATAAGGTTATCCCGAAGTGGACAGCCGTGTCCGGTTTCTGCAAACTGGAAATTAAAGCAAGGAAAGGGAAAATATATTCAAGCTGCTCACCTGTATATATATATATATTTAAGAGATCAGGAGGGATACCTGTTGTGGCCCGTCAGTGGCCAGCAGAGCTGGTGGCAGACTCAGACAGTGAGGAGGTCGGGAAGGAACATGGGCCAGTCCTGAAGTCTGGGGAAGGCTCTAATGAGGGCTCTGTGTTAGAGGCAGAGATGGAGCCAGGGCCGTCTGACAGTTGTCAGCTGCCTTCAGAGTCGACTTCAGTGGGGCAGAAGGACAGCTGGAGCCTGTTCCCAGTGTGCGCGTGCACAGAGCTGCCAGGAGAAGGGAACAGCTAAGGAATAAGGGTCGATTCAGGAGTAAAGCCACAGGTGGACAGTGAATGGCCCCTCCCAGAGGGAATAAAGAGGAGCGAAAGGGGAGTGGAGTTTACAGGAGACAATTAGTTCACTTAATTGGTTTGTAACTCTCAGAGACTCTTTGCCAAGTTTTGAAGATATCGGCCTGGCAGCTCTCCAAGCCAGATAAGGTCTGTGACTGCAAATTCTCCCTTGAAAGACTTTGCTGGATGTGAATGAGAGGAATTCACAGTCACTTAGTAAAAAGGGTTTTTTGTCGGGACAAGGAGTCTGCTTCATGCTCTTGGGTCAGAACAAGATCATCCAGATAGCAAGCACTTCTGGGATGTTGGGGTGTGTGTCAGAAATGCACTGGAGGGTGTCAGAGAGCTGAGCAAATTGGAGCAAAAGTATGATCGCCAAGTACCTGAGAAACAAGCACCCTGCCATGCTACCTTTGAAATAATAACATTATTGATAGTAACAGTACAGGTAGTTCTGGACTTACGACCACGATACAGGCTAAAATATCCCTTGCTAAGTAAGACAGTATTACGTGAGTTTTGCCCCATTGTACAACCTTTTTGCCACAGTTCTTAAGCAGTTGTTAACTGAATCATGCAGTCATTAAGTGAATGGGGTTCCCCCCATTAACTTTGCCTGTCCAAAGGCAGCTGGGAAGGTTGTATGTAGTGATCACCTGACCCTGGAACAGTGCAACTGTCATAAATACATGCCAGTTGCCAAGCACCTGAAGTTTGATCATATGACCGGGGGGGGGGGTTGCTGCTGCAGCAGTCCTAAGTGTGAAAAATGTTTTCCTAAGTCCATTTTTTTCAGGGCCGTTGTTGTAGCTTCAGACCGTCACTAAACGAAGAGTTGTAAATCAAGGACTTCCCGTAGAGCAAACTTGGAATCATTTGATAGATTGCTCTAATAGTTGGGTATAAATCTGTGTCCTGTGGAATTCATCTCTTTCCATGTGTTTTTTTTTGGGGGGTTGTGTGGGGCGATGTAGGTGGTGGCGCTTTGCACTTATCCCATCCTGCTGGACAGCCCCAGTCTCCCGGAAGACTCCAAGAAGAGGGCAAGGCGGATCTTGCAAGGCTGTGGAGGCAACAGCTTAGGTATTTCGATCCCTTTTTCACATTAGCTCCTGGCCGACTCTGTTGGCGGTCATTCGGGACTCTTAAATTGGGGGAATAGAAGACATGATTTCTGCTGGATAGAAACTCTCTCTTTGGCCTAGATCCCTGATGGCGAACCTATGGCATGCGTGCTGGACGTGGCACACAGAGCCTTCTCTCCAGGCACGCCGGCCATCACCCGTTGCCCTTCCGGGTTCCAGCGCGCACATGCGCCAGCTGGTCTTTGTACACATGGGAGCGCCGGAAACCGGAAGAGCAGCTCCCTGGCCAGCTGGTCTTCGTGCGCGCATATGTGCCAGGGAGCTGCTCTTCCAGTTCCTGGCGTTCCCATGCGTGTGCGTCAAGGAGCTGCTCTTCCACTTTCTGCCACTCCCCCACGCATGTGTGCACGCTCCTGTTTCGGCACTCGGTGCCGAAAAGGTTTCCCAACACTGGCCTAGATGCAGCTTGAAAATAACCAGATTTTTAATTGATAATTATTTAGTACAGTAGTGTTCTTTTGTTTTCTTCCATTTTCCTTCCTGTTTTACCATTTTCCCCCCATTTCTTTTCACCTTGCAGTTGTTTCATTTCTTATTGCTTGCGACACGATGAACCAATTTGAATACGATCTCTTAGCTCAGGGGTCTGCAACCTTAAAACACTCAAAGAGCCATTTGGACCCGTTTCCCACAGAAAAGAAAACACCGGGAGCCACAAAACCTGGGTGGGGGTGGCCAACTCGATGTCACTCACTTCCATCAGTCACATGACACCCCCCCCCCAGCTACACCTACCCAGCCGGTCATTAGGGCAGAGAACCAGTTGTTAAAAAACACCGGGAACCACCAAACCCTTTTGTCATTTCTCTCTCTCCCCTCCTTCCCCTCTCTCTCTCCCTCTCTCTCCCTATCTCTTTATGTCTCTCTCTCTTCCCCTCTCTCTGTGTCTCTCTCTCTCTGCCCTGGCCGCTTCTCCATCCCCCACCGTCACCTCCATCCCCCACCGTCACCCTTACCTTCTCACGCCAGGCGAGGAGCGGGGCCAGCCAGTGGTGGGATCACCCGACAGGGAGCCACAGCAGAGGGCCCAAAGAGCTGCATGCGGCTCCGGAGCCACAGGTTGCTGACCCCTGCCTTAGCTAAATAATTTGTCTGCCATCTGGGGAATTCTGGGAGTTGAAGTCCTCACATCTTAAATTGGCCAAGCTAAGGGATCATATCCGAATTGGTTTATCGTGTCGCAAGGTTGAGAAACATTGCTAGAGAGTGATGTGTTATGCTCCTCATTATCAACATCAATTCAAGATGTTCCTGGGCCGTTGGGTCTAGAAAAGAGTTAAGCTAATAATTTACTGTCAGAAATATTTAGAAATTTTCCAGTGGAAATGTGTCGCAGTTTAACATTAACCACAAATGAAATACACCTTTCCAATCTCAAACTGGAAAACCAAATGTTAACTGAGATGAATGAGAGCAGCAACAAGGCCAGTCTATCTGAGTCTCTTTTTCCGTCTAGTCGTTCACCCAGTTCCTTATGTTCACACATATTTTTCTAAGTTTCCTTAATAACATTTAAAACTCTAAAACTAGTTCAACTTGATATATAAGGAAGTATAATTGGGCAACGCTGATACAATATGTATATGCTGAGGTATGTGGCGTCTTCATGTCTGAAAAACATGAATTTTTTTGCCTGCAAGGTTGAGCCTCCTGGGATTATTGGAGATGCTTTGATCAATGCATCTTGGCATTGATCACCCTGATATCAACAAAAAAAAACCATGTAACTATTTTGATATGAGAAAAGGATGTCCTTGGTCCTTGTCATTATGGCAGAGCCATCTTTGGTGAATCTCTCTGCAGTCTCGAGTGTTTTAAAAAAAAAATCATTCCAAATACATTCCAAAATTCCGAGATCCAGACAGTATCAGAGAGTGCATAGAAAAGTTGAAACACTCACAAAAGGAATATCTCTGTGGCCCTGGTTTTTTAAAAAAGCACCTTACAAGATATAATTGAACCATAAATCGGAACATCAGCTTTCTTCAAATTGTTATTCAAAGCTCTCTTAGTCCCTGTGTGTCCTGGGTATATTTTTATTCTGTTTGTTGTAAAGGACCAACGTTTTGTGCTCTCACAAAACGTGTAGTGTAGGAGAACTGTGACTCTGAGGGTTCTTAGTGCTGTCTGAATTTGGTGGTTTTCTTGCAGATGTTTCATTACCAAACTAGGTAATATCATCAGTGTTCACGATGAGCAACTTGAAGTGACAAATGTACTGCTTGATCTGTTTTGGTTTCAAGGTGGAGACAAAAGGGCGAAGGGAGATCTGCCCCAGATTTAATCTTTATTCTCTTTTGAATATGTTAATTGACGAAAGAGTTTATTTGATGGGCAGAAGTTACAGATAGAGAGTTAGGAAACTTCTGAGAAGAATCTCAACGCGGCTCTCGTGGGGTTCGGTCCGGAGGCTGACATTTTCCTTCCTTTCACAGGTTCGTACAGCGCCAGCCAAGGAATCAATTGTATCCGTGAAGATGTAGCGGCATACATTGAGCGGCGAGATGGCGGTGTCCCCGCAGATCCAGAGAACATCTACTTGACCACGGGAGCAAGCGACGGCATTGCTGTAGGTTGGGGGCATTGGGGGCATCTTCTGATGTGAGGTTCCTCATGTTTGGGACCAAGGATCCAGGTTTATTCAAACTGCATGAAAGAACAAGAAAAGAAATGCTCAACCTAGTATGCTGAGAATAGAAATCTCTTTCTCGTCTGGCCTCAACATTTCCTCCTCTCCTTGGTTCTGGCTTTGTTTTGGCTGTAAAATTCTGGCTGTAAAGATCATCCAGATCACCCCGGGTCTCCAACCTTGGCAACTTTAAGACTTGTGGACTTCTATTCCCAGAATTCCTCAGCCAGCCGGGAGTTGAAGTTCACAAGTCTTAAAAGTTGCCAAGGTTGGAGACCCCTGGTCCAGACTATCTGGATGACTATCTGGAGAAAATCCATTTTTTCCCCTCCACGGTTGGGTTAGAAGTAATTTTCAACTTACAACCGGTTGCTTAATTTGAAGTTACGTTAATGTACAGCTAGTTCTCGACTTAAAACCGTTTTCATGCATCTGCCTTTTTTGCTACCTTAAACAAAACAAATGGCATGATTAAAATGCCATCACCTGGCCCAATTTGGTATTGCAGGTAGTCCTCGACTTACAACAGTTCATTTAGTGACCCTTCAAAGTTCCAATGGCACTGAAAGAAGTGGCTTATGACCGTTTTTCACACTTACAACCATTGCAGCATCCCCACAGTCATGTGATCAAAATTCAGACGCTTGGTCATTGACTCCTATTTACGACGGGGTCATGTAATTCCCTTTTGTGACCTGACAAGCAAGATTAATGGGGAATCCAGAGTCACTTAACAGCCGTGTTACTAACTGAACATATGCAATGATTCGCTTAACAACTCTGGCCAGAAAAGTCGTGAAGTGGGGCCAACTCGCTGAACAAATGTTTCACTCAGCAACATAAATTTTGGGCTCGGTTGTGGTCGTAACTCGAGGACTACCTGTCCAGTATTTCTGGATCAACAGGTCTACTGATCCAGCCTTTTCAAAATCTTCTGAAAGTTCTTTTCTGGTTGATTTTTTTTTTTCTAACCCTGAAAAATACTTATGTATGTTTAATGCAGTTCGAGGAGCAAAGAAAATTCTAATCCAAGTTGTTTTTGCTTTTGTTTATTTTATTATTATTATTATTATTATTATTATTATTATTATTATTATTTATTGGTTAATCTTTAGTGAGATTCACAGCCTTTGAGGCTGGTTAATAGCTCAGCAGCTCGAGTCCTAACCAAGGACCTAGGAACTGTTAAGGTATCGTCGGAGGATGTAAGCTGTTCCGAGTAAGGTGGTTTTTTGTAGAGTCAAAATGTTCAAGTCCGGCAGATTTAGAATTTCTAATTATTTATTATTATTATTATTATTATTATTATTATTATTATTATTATTATTATTATTTTATTTCTATACCACCCTTCTCCTACGGGACTCAGGGCGGTGAGATTAAATAATTTCGGCCCAAGATATTAAAAACAACCCAATTAAAACCAAATTCAATTAAAACTGAGAGGATGGGATCAAGCCAGCCCAGCTAGATGGAATAGGTGTGTTTTCAGGGCCCGACAAAAAGTCCGGAGGTCTGATATCGTGCGTATCTCAGGGGGTAGGTCATATTTATTTATTTTATTTATTTATTTAGTTTGTCAAACATGTACGAAATAACAGGTATAAGTATAAACATGGACATGAGCACAGGTAATGGGTACAAAGAAATGGTGACAGTGGGACAGGGACAGTAGGCACGCTGGTGCACTTATGCACGTCCCCTTACAGACCTCTTAAGTTTAAGGTTGAAGCTATGGGGGTTTGAGGATGTAACAACGGGGTCGGAGTAGAGCATTCCAGGGATTGACCACTCTGTTGCTGAAGTCGTATTGTCTACAATCCAATTTATCTCTCCTCAATCTTCCAGACCATTCTCAAGATCCTCGTCTCTGGCGGAGGGAGATCCCGAACCGGAGTGATGATCCCCATTCCTCAGTATCCTTTATATTCCGCTGCCATTTCCGAATTGGATGCCATCCAGGTGAACTATTACCTGGACGAAGAGAACTGCTGGGCCCTAGATGTGAACGAACTACGCCGCTCCTTATACGAAGCCAAAGCGGATTGTAATCCCAAGGTTCTTTGCATCATTAATCCTGGAAACCCCACAGGTGTGCAAAACTTCTACAGGTCTGCTCTTCACACTTTTCCATGGCATTTCTCTATGGACTGGTTGTAGTAAATCATGATGTGATTTACAGGCAGTCCTCGAGTTACGACCGTTGTTCAGCCAACGTTCAACAATGCTGAAAAATGGTGGTTATAGCCGGTCCTCAGAGTTCTAGACATCCCAGCGTCTCTGCAGTCATGTGATTGTGTGCAACTGGTTCACACTTACGAGCAATTGCATATTGGCCATTTGCAACCTTTCCTGCTGGCTTCCCCAGAAGGTCATTGGGGAAGCTGGCAGGAAAAGTCACAAGTCAGCAGGGTAGGTCTCCCCCACCTATGCAACTTTTTTCCAACCATTCTGCGTTTGAGCTGGCCATTTGCACACACTCCTCAAACCCTCTCCGAGCCTCGCCACACCTCCTGCGCATCTTTCCCAACCCTCGCCACGCATCCCTTGTGTAACCCTTCACGCCGTCCCCTTGCCCTTGTGCATCCCTCACAGCCTTGTGCAGCCTTCATGACCCTCACCCTCACCCAATGGTGGGATTCAGCCAGTTCGCACCACTTCGGGAGAACCGGTTGTTAACTTTCTGAGCAGTTTGGTGAACTGGTTGTTGGAAGAAATCACTAGGACAGAGAACCGGTTGTTAAATTATTTGAATCCCACCATTGCCCTCACCCTAAAGCAAAGACAGTTGCTCTTTTTTTCTGGAATGAAGAAGTGATTGACGTCATCTTTGTTTCATTGGAACGGAGAACTGCTTTGAATCTCTTTTTCCTATTTCATCCTGAATTTTAGGTCAAGTTCAAAATAGAAAATGTATCGAAGAGGTGATACACTTTGCCTGCGAAGAGAAGCTGTTTCTTCTGGCTGACGAGGTAATGAAAATATTCAGCCTTGGAGACAATAACTTATTTGGAAATTGGAGAGCATGCATTGCTGTGATGTTCGCACAAAATGGCCATGAGGATCTGTGGGGCCGATCGCAAAACTTTCAGATGCTAAAAGACAGATTGATACATTATTTGTCCTAGAGCAGTGTTTCTCAACCTTGGAAGCTTGAAGATGGGTGGACTTCAACTCCCAGAATCCCCCAGCCAGCGCTGCTGGCTGGGGGCTCTGGGAGTTGAAGTCCACCCATCTTCAAGCTACCAAGGTTGAGAAACACTGTCCTAGAGAAATGCTTCATCCAAACATGAAAAATGTGGAGAGCCTATTCCTGGGCGCTCCATACTTTTCGTGATTATTCTTGAAGAGCTGTGGTGGCGCAGTGGTTAGAATGCAGGATTGCAGGCTGACTCTGCCCATTGCCTGGAGTTCGATCCTGACCCGCTCAAGGTGGACTCAGCCTTCCATCCTTCCGAGGTGGGTAAAATGAGGACCCAGATAGTTGGGGGCAATAGGCTGACTCTGTAAACCGCTTAGAGAGGTCTGTAAAAAGAACTATGAAGCGGTATATAAGTCTAAGGGCTATTGCTATTCTTAGAAAATGAAAATTATGTGTTTGCATGAGTAAAGACACTCATGCAACTCAGAATGGTATTAGAGTTTGGGACTTTCTTCGGAGCACAGCAATGTTTGTGTTTATGTTAAAAGAACTTTTAAAATGAAAAAAAATAATAATCAGAAAACAAACACTGCTAGGTGTAAAGAGAGGATTCCATGACCTAAAGAGTATCAAGAGCCCTAGCTTCTTCCCTCTCGAATCCTAAAAAGTGATGTTACTTTTTTGAAAAGCAGGTAGTCCTCAACTTACGAATGGTCACTCAGTGACTGTTTGATGTTATTACAGTTCCCCTGAAAGATACTTATAACCTGGTTCCAGAGGGCGAGGCCTCCAGGGGGGTGGGCTGCTGGGGGTTTGCAGGGGTTCGGGAGAACCTCTAGCTAAGATTCTGTGCAGTTTGGAGAACCCCCAAATCCCACTCCTGGCTGGCCCTGCCCACCCTACCCCACCTCTCCCAGAAGTCCCCACGTGGCCCGTTCTGGATGCAGGTAAGTGCAGGGCACGTGCGGAGGCTCAGGGAGGCAGTTCCTACTGCAAGTTCGGGAAGGCTGGAAACAGGTCCGTTTCCGGCCTCCAGAGGGTCTCTGGAGCCTGGGGAGGCTGTTTTCTCTCTCCTGGAGACTTGAGGAAAACCTCCGGAGCCTGGGGAGGGCAAAAACGCCCTCTACCACCGTGGTGAAGGAAGCTGACTAGGGCATGCCCACCATGGCCACGCCCACCCAGCAACCGGGCAGAGAACCCCTTGCTAAAATTTTTGAAGCCCACCGCTGGAGGCCTCCCCTGTGGTCATGTGACCACATTGGTACGCTGAGTAACTGACCCACATTCATGGCTTTATATGCATCCCACGGTCATGTGACCATAATTTACAACGTTTTTGGTGAAACTCAGCATTTAGTTGCCCCAAAGCAAAGAACAGGTTCAGGTAATAGGCGTGGTGGTTTGCTTACCATCCGCTGCAAAGCAAGGTCATAAAATTGCAATGGGTCCTGTGTTGATCAGCTTTGGGTAGGCTCGGTTATGGTCATAAGTCGAGGACGTCCTGAAATTCTGTCTTTTCTGGGGTTCAGGTGTATCAAGACAACGTCTACTCGGAGAACTGCCAGTTCCACTCCTTCAAAAAAGTCCTTTACGAGATGGGACCCGATTACTGGAATAATGTCGAACTCGCTTCTTTTCATTCCACTTCCAAGGGCTACATGGGCGAGTAAGTTCCAACATCCGAGGATGGAATTGTTGCTATGCAGTATCCATTTACTTAAGTGTTTTTTTCTATCAGGGCAACCTGCTGTAGACCCAACTATGGGACGGAGCATACTGCTTCCGCTTTCGCCTTTCAGCCCCAATCAAGGAGCCATTGCAGGCAGTCGCTGTCGCGACAAACTATTTTTGTGTTAAATTTATATGTGTTTCTTTGTCGGCAAATATAAATTTAATCCATTTACTTAATCACTCGCCGTGGCTTCTCTGGGATGGTCAAAAAAAGTAAACACCTCATTTCTTTCGTATAAAAGGGGGGTGGCTCAGGGGTGAAATGCTCCCAGTTTGGACCGGATTGGGCGATCCGGTAGCGATAGTGGCTGGTGGTTCGGAGAACCGGTAGCGATGGTGGCGTGACGCTCCGCCCACCCGCCGGGTGTCGTTACTTCCTGGTTTTAACCAGGAAGTAATGTGTTTTTTTTACCCTCTGCACATGCTCAGAAGGTTTTGCGAGTGAAGCGCGCACTGCAGTAGTGAAATCCGAACCGGTTTACTACCAGTTCATTGGCTGCGCATGTGCAGTGCACACCATGCACCAAATGCGAGGTGCGTGCGCGCATTGCACGCCAAAAGGAGGCATGCGGTAAGTAGAACAGCACACAAGAGGGAGTGATCAACTGTGGCGCCGAGGAAGTTGTAGAAAAAATGCTTTTAAAAGTAAAAAACCCTCTGATGATTGCACGGCTCAGCTGGGCATGGGGGGGGCAGGGATTTTTGCTACCAGTTCTCCGAACCACCTGCCATCACTACCGAATTGGGCGATCCGGTCCGAACCGGGAGCATTTCACCCCTGGCGCGCGCGCATGTGCACTTCTGAACCGGTAAGGAAGGTAAATAGATTTCACCCCTGGTGTGGCTTGAATTGCACAGGTGTGGCATGTTGATTTTTTTTTAAAAAAAGTAGCTACTAATACCAAAGCAAGGGGTTTATATTACTTGGGCACAGTAGTATTTATATATGTAGTGTTGGTTGGAGATTATTAATACTCTGATGATTCAGATAACTTAAACCTTAATGATAAAGAGGAAAAAAAAGAAAGTTTATGTCCATATTCACTTTGATTTTTTTTAAAAAACTCTCTGCCGCAATACATAACCCTGTTTTATATGCCAGCCTAATCCTCCAAGCAGCTGCCCTTCCTTTCTCAGAAGATTAAAATAGGATCCTGCATTAGTTGTAGACTTTATAGGTTGCCTTTCTGCCACTGTGAGAATTTCATGCTACTTTTTCTCACGGACACATTTTTTCCACTCTCTCCTTTTCTCTTCTCTTCTCTTCTCTTCTCTTCTCTTCTCTTCTCTTCTCTTCTTCTCTTCTCTTCCCTTCCCTTCCCTTCCCTTCCCTTCCCTTCCCTTCCCTTCCCTTTCCTTCCCTTCCTTCCCTTCCCTTTTTTCTTCTCTTCTCTTCTCTTCTCTCTTCTCTTCTCTTCTCTTCTCTTCTCTTCTCTTCTCTTCTCTTCTCCTCTCCTCTCCTCTCCTCTCCTCTCCTCTCCTCTCCTCTCCTCTCCTCTCCTCTTCTCTTTTCTCTTCCTGTGGCTTTTGCCTGGTTTTTAGGTGTGGCTACCGAGGAGGCTACATGGAGGTGATAAACCTGCATCCAGAAATTAAAGGGCAGCTAGTTAAGCTCCTCTCTGTCCGTCTGTGTCCACCTGTCTCGGGTCAAGCTGCTATGGATGTCGTGGTGAACCCCCCTGTTCCCGGAGAAGAATCCTACGCCCAGTTCATTAAGGTTTGTTCATGTATTTGACATTCTTTCTTTTTTTTTTAATCCTTCTTAAAGCCACCAGAAGCTCTTGAATCCCCAGCAGCCAGAAGAGAATGAAAACAGGTGTTCAAAGAAACACCAAGACAAAAATCACATTTTCGATCGATCCGATTTAAGGATTCGTCTGGGATCCATTTTCCTAAAGCAGAATTTCCTTTCTTTTTTTTCAAACATCAATTTTAAAAAAGAAAGTAGCTAATCTTCCATTCATCTAAACTTCCTCCATCTGGTGCCTTTTCAAATTTGACTTTGAACTTAACTCTTGGTTGTTTCCAACCAGCAGGTGAGGATGCCAGGCGGAGAACGTGTAAGATTTGTCTCAAGACATAGGCAGTGTTGAAACACATCGATAACAATGTTTTCAGTGATAGTTTCTGGATTTATACTTGAATCGAATATGATTAGGTTGGACTGTAAATAATTTACATCCCTGGCTGGGTTCACACAGGAACCCAGATAATATTTGACAGAAACAGTGCATAACAAAACTTATCAGTAACAGAGTTGGAAGGGACTTTGGAGGTCATCTAGTCCAACCCCCTGCTCATGCAGGAGACCTGTACTAGTAGGGACTCGAACCGCCGAACTGCCAACCTTTCTGATCAACAAGCTCAGTGTCTTAGCCACTGAGCCACCTTAAGAACTGAAGGTCACTGAAGAATCAAGTCAAGTGTATAACTGGGCAATTTTAAGTTACAAAAGACTATCACAGTGGGCAATGTCCTCTTCGCAGGAATAATTTTTTGCTTATTCACTCATTTATTCTGTCCATGGTTTCTTTAGCTACTGAGATACAGGATGCTCTTAAGAAGCTTCTTTTGTTCTCCAGCCAAGAAAATGCAGATTATGGGATGATGGAAGTTTAGATGTAGGGTATTTGATGCTCTCTGAGCCTGGTTGTTTTCTAACAGACGTCATTGCCCAACTAGGTAGCATCATCAGTGCTAGTAGGGAGTGGGGGCCTGCTATCATTTTATATACTAAAGATTAGATGGAGGGAAGGTGCTGAGAAACTTGAAGAACGGATATTCTAAAGTAATAACAATAACAATAATAATAACTTTATTGTCATTGTACATATATACACAGTATACCCATACAGCGAAATTCACTTAACACCCAAAGACCAGGTCCAACACACACAACAATCCCCAAACACACTCCCACCCACCACAAATTCCTCGCCCCTAAACACCCAAACATCCACACAACAGACCAAGTAATGCTGTCCAACAGCTCACTGATGGTGGCCCTTTAGTTCATTGTTGAGTGCAAATATAGCTCTGGGATAAAAAACTATTCAGAAGACGTGCGGTCCGAATTTTAATTGTTCTGTATCTTCTGCCAGAAGGCAACAGTCCAAAAAGATTGTAAGCAGGATGCGAAGAGTCTCTGAGAATGTTGTGCAACTTTCTCAAAGAACGAGATTCGAAGATGTCGTCCAGGGCTGGTAGCTGGAGCCTGATGATATTCTGGACAGTTTTAATGATTCTCTGTAAAATAGTGCCAGCTGATTTGAACTGCCCAGTTGAGGGGTCCCCTGTGTGACTATTCTTTCCTTTTTCCTGACAACACAGGAAAAGGAGTCTGTCTTGAACAACCTCGCCATGAAAGCCAAACTAACCGAAGACTTGTTCAATCAAGTGCCGGGGCTCCACTGCAACCCACTTCAAGGGGCCATGTATGCGTTCCCACGGATTTTTATCCCATCCAAGGCCATTGAAATAGCAAAGGTGAGAAATGTCTTGCTTCTCTACAAGAAATGTTACCGCGGCTGAATCAAACGGGAGCTTTTTCTCTTGCTTTAGGTAGAAAATCTGTGCGTCACGCTAAGCCACAATGAAAACTAAAATTGGTTGAGTTTGTACATAAGTTGCACTTGATACCAGTAGTGGTATCAAAGCTGATTAGTGTACATTTAAAGTGACAATAAAGTTCTATTCTATTCCATTCCATTCCATTCCACTCCACTCCACTCCACTCCACTCCACTCCACTCCACTCTCCACTCCACTCCACTCCACTCCACTCCACTCTCTGATTCTGTTCTGTTCTGTTCTGTTCTGTTCTACCCTACCCTACCCTACCCTCTTCTCTTCTCCTCTCCTCTCGTCTATATTCTCGAACATGAGAACATTCAGACTTATTTAACTGTTGCAGAATAGCGCAGCATTCAGAAGCAAGTAGAGCAATTTAAAAGGACTGTGATTAGTAATTAACTTCATTTAACTTCCATTTACTCCAGGCCCATCAAATGGCTCCCGACATGTTCTACTGTATGAAACTTTTAGAAGAAACTGGAATCTGTGTTGTACCCGGAAGCGGGTTCGGCCAAAGAGAAGGAACGTATCACTTTAGGTAGGTCTGACCTTACAGATTGCTCTTGTCCAGGTTACGCTGTAATTCTTCCCCTTGTAATTTCCACAAAATATTTATTAATTGCCTCTTCTTTTTCCTTCTAGGATGACTATTCTCCCACAAGCAGAGAAACTAAAGATCTTATTGAAGAAAGTGAAAGATTTCCATATAAAATTTCTGGAGGAATATTCTTAAAATAAAGACTCTTTTTTTAAAAAAGACTGTTATCTTTGAAAGTGTATTCAAGCGGCGAGAGAAAAGAATATGCTTTTTAGAGGGGGCCGTCTTTTTTTAAATCAAATTCATGATAGAATTACAATTACTGGAGCTTCAGTTTGATAGAAAAGACTAATAAAATACTGGAACGAATTTACGAAAACAAGATATGGAAAATGCATTCAAAGAATGATTAACGCAATCATTGGTTGCAAACTGGGATGTTGCAAAATTTGCCATTGTCCCACAGCATGAAAGTCAAACTTAATTAGGTTGGACATTTGGGTGTTGATAAACATTCTTCTATGCTTATCTTTAAAAATAGAAGATACCACAATACCCCTTCCTATCAAACCAAATCAGAAAACTACAGTTGTACAGGTAAACTAAAGGCACAGATGAGTTATTTTGAACTCTTCTGGTCAAGCCTGTCCATGGGAAGTAGACAGAAATCTTTTGCAAATAGAAGTATTAAAATCTCCTGTTTCGTGATCAAATAAGAGGCCCAATATTTTGTTCCGACAATTTGAGTGCCTTTTGAATTCCTGGCGAGGTTGCCTCCACATATAAAATACAACATTTATCTTGTTTGATAAGAAGAACACTCACTTCATCTGTTTACAAGCATGGCTGAAAAATAAATAAAAGGAGGGGAGTTAGATTATAACAATACTTCAATTCCTGCTTAATTTTAGCCAGCCGTTTCCAAACTAGAAATATATCGAGTTTAAGCTTCCTTTGGCTATGATGCGCATGAGGTCTTAAGAAATTGGGAGGCGAGGAACAACTTGGTTGCAGTCATCTGAATAGGAATATTTTGGAAAATAAATGCCTGGTTATTTTGGATAAAATATCCAAACCAAAAGAAGAAGGAGGCCTTGTTGGGATATTGGATTACATTTTTGCATGGTAAACACAAGTTGATAACGGAAGAATATTTGCTCTTGGTTTTCTTGATTGCTGTTCTTTATGAAAAGGTTTCTTATCGCTCTTGAATCATCATCAAGAGGCCAACATAAATAAGATTGAGCAATAAGAAAGGGTCCAATTTGATGTTGCCTCCCTGAATATTCAGATGCCTTCAGAACTGTCACTTGAATTTAAATAAATACTAGACTGGGACTTGGCTTGGAAACTTGGTCTGTTTCAAACTGTGTTCCTGGTTTTCGAATTTCAACTGCTCAGAAGCCATTCACTCACGTCTCTTAATCGGGTAAATGTTTGATGTATTAAAAGGCTGATCTATGGATAACCAGTTCTTGTAGCAGTACATAAAAACATAAATAATCGGACAGGATAGGAAAGAGAATGCTTTTCACATGACCAAATGGAATTTTGCTTGCTAGTTTGATCCATGTTTCACCTCTATGTCAAGCCTCTAATGAGATTCGACCTTTACAGTAGAAGGAAAAATTCACATGGAGTTTCGCTGAATTCCAGAAGAAGAAAAGATTAAATGTCCTCATCTTAGCGAGTTCGTTAAGGTGGCATCTCCAAGGATAGTTTGAGCTTCTTTTTCCCAGATTGCTTCACCGAAGGGCTAATGGCTCTTTGCCAGATAACACTGAAATAGCCATTAGCTGGGTTTTGAAATACCTCTTCTCAACCTTCAGGACTTCTCTTACACTTGGGTATCATAAAATAAGATTTAGAATTGCTTCCCATCTAATGCTCTTCAGTTACGATGGGAGTTACGGATTAGACACATTTGAAGGTTACTCATATTGATGTTTGCCATGTTAGTTGAGTTGTTACAAACAATATCATAAATGTACCATCAGTACTCAAAAGGTTTCAGTCTTCACTACCAAGATTATATGTTATTTTGAGTAGCTGAGCCATTTTCCAAAAGCTTCATATTAAACATCTTTTCCGTTGGAAAGTACTAGCTACATTATTTTCTTAATGATTATACTATGCTAAGTTCTGTTGAATTCTGAACTGACCTCCTTAGATTGTACTAAAAATTACAGTTGGCTGGCTCTTAAATCATATTTGGTATTTTATTGATGACATCAATTCGTAAGAAGATGATAGCAGTTCTCAAAGCAGTGGCAATTTCCCCCCAAATCCATAAATTGCCATACACTAAATGCATGTAGTCACTCAATGCAAGAGAATACTATGCTTCATCCTGAGCAGTTGCAATTAAAAATATATCTATTTTTGTAAGTAAGTAAACATTTTCATATGGTACGGATGGGAATTGAGCATTTCTATTGTTTTTTATTCTCTTGTGTTAACTTTTTAATGCTATTGAAAATTATGTCAACTTTACATGTTTCTAAGTAATGCTTTTACAGAGATATTTCTTTTCTTTGTACTTTTTAAAAATGGGAAGTAGTCTTACTTTTCATTTATTCCTAACTGTAAGACATCAACTTCTAGTTTTCCTTGTGTTGAAAACTGTATTTTACGGTGCCTTTTGATTTCTGATATTATTACATCTCTGAGCATAGTGCATAATATAATCAGTTAATTTATTTATCACATTTGTCATTACTGCAAGGAAATTAACAGGCCACTTAATTGTCCTTGGCTAGGGATGGCCATTCTCTTAGATCTGCTTCCAAGCCTCGATGGATATGATCCCCAAATGGTTTCAAAATAATTAAACTATGGGAATTGTTTATTTTTTTTACGTCAAGAACGATTACCAAGGCAAGCAAACAGTGTGATGTTCGGTTATAGGTTTGTTTTTCCTATTTTCATCCTGTTTTCTGATGACTTTTTAAAGATCTTTACAAATAAAAGAGCTATTATGAACTGTGGAAGTCATGTAATAATTTGCATGATGTAAGATAACCTGGTTCACACATCACTAACCAGTGCAGTGCTTAACCATGGTTGGGCTCATATTAGTCCATTTTCCAAGTCACCAAGGCAAAAACAAGGAAACCTCCTTGGATGTCTTGAGTTCATTAAACACCCTAACATACATGGGGTTGGCTGTTGGGAACCCCAGATTGCTGGTCAAAGCCAACCAAGAGTTTTATCACTCAGGTGCATTATATGAACTAAGAACTGAATTCAGGAAACCATAGTCAACCGGCTGTTTGCAACTCCAGTTTAGATGCAAAAGCTATACAAATCTCTATATGGGTTAACTTAACCTTGGTTACTTTTAAGCTTGGTTCTTTCCAAGTTAAGGTTTGGGTGGGTTTGCAAAGCCAGCCAGTTGCATCAGCTTCTGGCCCTACAGGCTGCAAAAACCCAGACAGAACAAAGTAACCAGGTTTAAAGCATTGCACTGCAGGTAAGCATTGAACTCAGCCTGACTCCAGTTCAGACCTTCAGGTTTGGGGGTCGGATGGGAAGGTCGCTCCCATTCTCTCCCCACCCCTCTTTTGGCTGTTGGCTGGGCAATCTGAATTAGGAGGTGCAGAACTGCCCCCACCCCAGCTTTGGGGAGGTGGGGTTTCAAAAAAACCCCAGCCCACCTGAATCTGTGTTGCTTCTACACCCCCAAAAAGACCTCTGGAGCTCAGCTGGGGATCGACCCTACCACCTTCCCCCACCCCACCCAACCCAACCAGACCGTAGCTCCTGGGGGCGTTTCCACCGGGTGGGTGGGACTCTATAAATATCCCCCCCCATATATTAGCAGGTCCCTCTGCGTTTCTTTGGGGGAGGCATCGTCCCACAGGCTCGGAGGTGATCCTGCCGGTTGGGTCCTTCTCCATGGCGCTCAGGCAGCAGCTGGAAGCCTCCAAGAAGCGCAGCGTCGACTCCGGAGTCGAACCGGATCGGAGCGTCTTGAGTAAAGAGCAGAGGCACCAGCGGATCAGCCTCTTTCTGCAGGATTTCGACCACCAGGGTGAGGCTTCAGGAAAGGGGAGCATCCCCTTGTGGTCCATTCCTTCAACACGTTTTTTTTTTTATTGAAAAGTTTTATAGAAGATACAAACATTTTCTCCCCCCCCCCTCCCACCCCTCCACCCTTTCCCCCTCCCCCTTCCCTCCACCCCCCTCCCTAGACTTCCCAGAACAAGCACAGGGTATAGCATTCACAAGCATAAAACTAAAATATGCTAACAATTTGTTGACTTCAAATTCTCCCTAGGTCTTTAACTCCTTATAGCTCAAAACACTATAAACATAAACTAAAAATTAAAAATGTTTCATTCATAAGCTATATGAAACTTCTTAGTCTGATACTTGTTTTGAATATAGTCAATCCATCTTCTCCATTCCGATATATATCTTTCGTTTGAGTGAGATATGATGAAATTTTTGCCATCTCTGCCAAATGCGCAACTTTTAATGTCCATTCCTCAATGGTAGGTGGATCTTCCTTCTTCCAGTACTGTGCCACCAGTAACCTGGCTGCTCTTATTAAATTTAAAACCAACTTAGTCTCTATTACAGTACAATCCGTAACTATTCCCAACAGAAAAAACTGTGGTGTAAATTTAATCTTTTTCTTTAAAATATTTTGAATAATCCACCATATTTTTATCCAAAAAGCCTTAATTTTTTTTACATGTCCTTCAACACGTTTTTTGTCTCCCTGAAAGGGTGTGGGTGGGTTGTCCTTCCTTTGTCCCCAACCAGGATCTTCAAGATGGTTTTGTTGCACTTAGGAGAACCATTCTGCTAAGATTGTGAACTACAACAGTGGTCCCCAACCTTTTTATCGCCGCGGCCCGCTGAGCGCGCGCAGGGGTGGGGCCACGGCCCAGGAGCTTTTGCGCAGGCCCATTGCGCACGGCCCAGGAGCCTTTGCGCTGCAGCGTTCCTGTCCCCCGGCCCCTGCGCGGCCCGGTGCCAGGTACTCCACGGCCCGGCACCGGTCCGCGGACCGGGGGTTGGGGACCACTGAACTACAAGAACCATTCTGCTAAGACCTAGGATTCGTGGGAGTTAAAAGAGCCTTGACATCCCATCAGTTGGCAGGAGAAAGTTAGGAGACCGTGGGGTCCTCCCCTCCTGCTAAGCTACAAGATGGCTAGTTGGTTTTGGCTTCACGCCACCTGGGAACTTCATCCCCGTGATTGATGGTGGTATTTATGGGTTTCATCCTTGGGGAGAGCCCTTGCTCTCCTTGTGGTTAATTCAGCAACCCCTTCATGGATGGTGCAACATAATGGACATCCTGTGACTGGCTTCGCCTTGCAGGAACCTTGTTTGTAAATCAGGGTTAAGCGATTTATTTATTTATTTATTTAATTATTGGTTTGATTTATATGCCGCCCTTCTCCGGAGACTCAGGGCGGCTTACAATGCGTTAAGCAATAGCCTTCATGCTTTTGTATATACCTGCTTAGTAGGGCTTTTTTGCCCCCCCCCCCCAAGCGGTGTTCTTTTTTATACAAAGTCGGCTTATTGCCCCCACAAACCAGGTCCTCATTTTACCTACCTCGGAAGGATGGAAGGCTGAGTCAACCTTGAGCCTGGTGAGATTTGAACTTGCAGTAATTGCAGGCAGCAGAAACACCATTTCTGACAAATGGCAGTCCAATCTTTTCTTGAAAGTCTCAAGTTTTCCCCTTTAGGATTTTCATCCAAGGAATCTTTCCCAAGTTCTCTCCCGAGTTTATTAAAATCAGTTCTTTTAAAATCTAGTTGGGTCACAATATGTCTGCAAGAAAACAACCAAGTCCAGAGAGCATCAAGGATGCCACAGTTCAACCCTGAGCTACAGTAGTAGTGGCCAAAAAATGTGGAAACCTTTTGGGAAAAGTGTATTTTCTAAAACTAGCTAAAAACACCACTTTTTCTGGGAGGGGGGGGAGGAGTACCATAAAATTATATGTCAATGGAAAGATAATTTAATCAAGAATGTCATGCAATAAATTTTATGAAGGATTTGCTATTAGAATAGCAGTTGCAGTAGAAAGAAGAAAAGTGAAACACGTAGAAAAAAACGAGATATACAAAAATGATCACCATGTCAGTTAATACTTAGTTGGGTAACCTTTAGCATGAATTACAGCCTTACAACGTCTTCCCACGGAGTGAACCAAGTCTTTTAGTTCTGCAACTGTTATCATGTGAAACCAAGATTGAATGATGGCTTCTATTCACTGGGTTTTATTGCTGGGTCGCTTCTGAATAACAAGTTTCTTTAGTCGGCTCCATAGATTTTCAATTGGGTGAAGGTCTGGGCTATTCCCAGGTCATTCCAGCAGTGGAATAGGATTATCTTGAAACTCCAAAAAAAAAAAGTGGTGTTATTAGCCATCAAACCTCAAAAATATACTTTCCCCAAAAGGTTTCCACAATTTTGGCCACTACTGTACATATAGAGCAGGGGTTGAACCAATCCCTGATATACAGCATTCTCTTCTATTGATACCTGCTTCTCTGTTCCAGCAAAGGAACACCTACAAGAGATGAAGAAAGAACTAGCTTCGCTTCTGCAGATGGCTGAGAAGGCCTTCCAAGTGGAGCTGCTGGCTCTGCCCCCGGCCATGAGAAAAATGAAGAGGAAAGACTTGTTGGGTGAGCCTTGGGCCCTGTTGCCCACTTCGCCTTCTCCCTTCTAGACCAGCCTTCCCTTCCCTGAAGCAGGACTGACCCATTTGTAAAGCTTGCAGATCAGGGGTGAAATCCAGCAGGTTCTGACAGGTTCTGGAGAAATATATTTCTGACCTGTAGGAAGCCAGTCACTTTTGGGAGTTGGCAGCCGGCTGCTTTAGCATGATGGTTTAATCTCGGTCTTTCAGATCTCAAAGAAGAAGATGCAGCCGCGGCAACAGCTGTAGCCACTCTGGAGGCAGTAAGTATCTGCCCAGTGTCTGTTCTATCAAAGTAAAAAAAAAAGCCTCTGATGATCGCGCGGCTCGTCAAAGGCATTTAAAAGAAAAAAAAGGGTTTTTTTTTCTTTTAAATGCTTTGACGATCCCAGCCGTGTTCCCTGATTGGCAGAGACTACAGCAACAAGTTACAGTCATACAGTCATGCAGTCATAAGTGGGAGGAGAGGGTGATAGGCACAATGAGAAGATTAATAGTAATAGTAATGCAGACAGTGAATAGTTTGACAGTGTTGAGGGAATTATTTGTGTAGCAGAGGGATGGCGTTCAGGCGTCTAGTTCTGGTGTGCAGTGCTCTATAGCAGGGGTCTCCAACCTTGGCAACTTTAAGCCTTGGCAGACTTCAACTCCCAGAATTTCCCAGCCAGCTGGGGAATTCTGGGAGTTGAAGTCTGCCAAAGCTTAAAGTTGCCAAGGTTGGAGACCCCTGCTCTATAGCGTTGTTTTGAGGGTAGGAGTTGAAACAATTTATGTCCAAGATGCGAGAGGTCTGTAACTATTTTCACAGCCCTCTTTTTGACTCGTGAAGTATACAGGTCCTCAATGGAAGGCTACCAACAATTGGTAGCCATTGTTTTTTCTGCAGTAATCTGGGTAAAGGAACCTCTGTGGTGCTACTCTTAATTTTCCCCTTTTCTCCTCAACGTCTCTAAAGAGCAACTGTGGTGTTGGAAACCTGCACAATCCCAGATTAATAAGAACAAACAGCAAGCGAGGTAAATCTGAAATGTTCCTCCTGGTTACGAAAAAAAAATCTTTTTCTGTACTGATCCTTTTTGGGAGCTGAAGGGAATAATGGTGTCTTAAGACATCTGGAAGGCACCAACATTTGCTTGATCCTAGTTTCTTAGCTTGGACACCCGTGTTGTGGCCCACCAGTGGCCAGCGAAACTGGCAGCAGATTCGGACAGTGAGGAGGTTGGGGAGGAACATGGGCCAGTCCTGGAGTCTGGGGAAGGCTCTGATGAGGGCTCTGCATCGGAGGCAGAGAGGGGGCCAGAGCCGTATGCCAGTTATCAACTGCCTTCAGAGTCAGACATCAGTGAGGCAGATGAACAGCTGGAGCCTGGACAGAGTTGCCAGACGAAGGGAACAGCTAAAAAACAAGGGTAGACTTGGGAGTAAGGCCACAGGTGGACGATGAATGGCCCCTCCCAGAGGGAATAAAAGAGGAGCGAAAGGGGAGGGGAGTTTGCAGGAGACAATTAGTTCGCCTAATTGGTTCGTGACTCTCCGAGACTCCTGGCCAAGTTTTGAAGATATTGGCCTGGCAGCTCTCCAAGCCAGATAAGGTCTGTGGCTGTAAATTCTCCCTTGAAAGACTTTGCTGAAGGTGATTGAGAGGAATTCACTGTTTGTTTAATAAAGGGGGTTTTGTCGGGATCAGGATTCTGCTTCATGCTTTTTTGGGGGAAGCCTAGGTCAGAACAAACAGCCAGATCAATGGACCACCTCTGTCTCTTGACTTCTTAGTCAAGATCTATTTGCTGAGAAGTTCTAGAGATCTTGGGAGTGCCTGGCGCTGCTTTAAAAGGGGAACAAGAGAGCGCACCGAGCATGGAAAGTCCTTTTGAACCCATCTTACCATAGTTGTGGTGAAAAAATGAGGGCCACACACATGTCAAAAAAAAAAAAAAGTTTAGCTGCTACTGAACCCTTAAGGTCTAAACTTTAAACCTGTTAAGTCATTTCTAAAGCAGGGACAGCTGTACTCGTACCCATTGTTAGTCTCTTAACTCTTGACCCAAATCTCCTTTCCAGTTAAAGTCACCACAATTGTGGAATATAAGGAAGCCGAAGACGAACAGAGGCCGCAAAGCAAGAAAACTTCTCAGAAGGTAGGTGGGGAAAAGAATAATTGTCCGTTCTGCTTTCTTGAAACCTGTTTTCTTTGCAAGTTTGAAGGAGCCTTTGTACTAGGTTTGTATTTCGTTACCCCAAAGTTGCTTTGGCTTCAACGCCATGCAAAATTATATATATATATATATAGCTTATTATTTTTTTTGCAGGTATTTAAAACTAAGTCACTGACTTCTGCCATCACGGATAAAAAAGGTATTGTCTGCAGGTAAGATGAAGTCAATGTTTTTCAAGTCATCCTGTACTTAAAAATCAACGTGATTTGTCCCCTGAGATGGATTGATGAAAAGATGATACCACTAGATAGCTGAGATGCTTGGCAATATTCTAGGGGGACAGGATGAGCGCTTAGCAGTAGTATTGGGTGTCCAAAATGGGAAGAAAAAAAAGACCCTCTTAAGGGGAAAATCTCAGTAACAAACCAGTAAGGAATGAGCATGGTTTGATTGCCAAAAGTGCAAATTGATTTTTCTGCAGAGAGGTGAAAATATGGAAAAGAGACCCTGGTGGTATGGATAATCAGAATTTGCTCTGGAGTGGAATGTTTTCTTGTAGCACTTGTCTGTCTTAATGTATATCATAAGCAACTTCGGGCCCAAGCTGAGTCTTTTTTTTTAATTTTAGTGGAGAAGACTTTTAAGCATCAAGCTGATGGCATTTAATTTAACTGGAATGGTCTTAAACTGTCAAAGGCTTGGGGTCTTCTTTTGCAAAAGCAAGGGACTCAATGAAGAAGTTACGGGTTGCTTGCAGGCATCCTTTTTGGTTTCAAGCAAAGAAAGCCAGCTGCCGTTTCTATGCAGATTTTTTCCTCTATCATTTAGGTGTTAATCAAGTGCATCCTAGTTGTATTTGCAGGAAGGTAAAATAGGAGCAATCATAGAGAGAAATATTGTGGGTGTATCATCATTTTCTTTTAATGACCCCATAATCCCTTGCGGAGTGGAGTCTGATCAACTGAATCAAGCTGAGTATTTACTGGCCGGATGCCCTTCCTGTCACCAATGCGGAGTTTTGTTCAGCAGATCTATGCTGTGCCCAGAGAGAGAAATATCTGCCTCTACCTAAGATCAAACTCACAGCCTCCTGATTGTGAGGCGAGAGCTCCACCTCTAGGCCACCGCACTGCTCAAATATTGTGTGTGTGTGTGTGTGTGTATGTGGGAAATAATTCAAGGACTGGTGTCTTCCCTCAGGTCTGCATCTGTGTGTTCCACTCCAAACATGAAACGCATCGAGCGATCGGCTTCTCTGCGCGAGCCACCGAGATCTACTCCCAGGTTTACCAGCTCAGTCTCTAAAAGGTCAATATTGCTGGTTTGTTTTAAAGGATTTTTTGTTTGTTTGTTTTAAAGGATTTTTATTGCTGGTTTGTTTTAAAGGGACGTGGTGGCTCAGTGGCTAAGACACTGAGCTTGTCGATCGAAAGGTCGGCAGTTTAGCAGTTTGAATCCCTAGCTTTAAAGAACTGTATCTGTATATATAGAATTGGGGAGCCATAACTTTAAATTCTACCCATCTACCTTCCTACTTACGACTGGATGTATATGTACACCAGGGGTGGGTTCTAAATTTTTTTACTACCGGTTCTGTGGGCGTGGCTTATTTTGTTGGGTGTGGTTTGATGGTCATGTGACAAGGTAAGAATAACGCGGGGGTGGGGGGGCACAGGGGGGCAGAACCGGTTCGGTGACGTCATGTCACTGCTACCGGCTCGGGAGAACCGGGCCGAACCGGGAGGAACCCACCACTGATGTACACCAATAGTGGGGTTCCCCCGGTTCGCACCGGTTCTATAGAACCGGTAGTAAAACTGGCTGGAGGCTCCGCCCATCGACCCCGATGTCATTAAACGCTTCTGCGCATGCGGAGAAGAGCGAGGGCAAGCGGAGCGAGCGTGAGCAAAGCGAGTGCATGCACGCGGCCTCGCTGCAAACCGGTAGTAAAAGTAAGTAGAACCCACCCCTGATGTACACACATTTGATAATTGGAGCCTGATCTTTTTGGAGATGAATATTTCAAAGATTTATAGCAATCTCTTTTTCTTTTGTCTACCCTCCCTTATTTTTCTCTTGCTAGATTTTCACAGAGGGGGACCTGCACAGGACCGTCTCAGAGAACTCCGGCTTCAAGTCTTCGCAGTTCATCGATGCCCCCTGGACGATCCCTTCCTTTTGTCAATATACCTCTGGCCGATGGGCAGGTATGGCTCTTATGCAGTGGTGGGATTCAAACAATTTAACAACCGGTTCTCTGCCCTAATGATTTCTTCCAACAACCAGTTCACCAAACTGCTCAGAAAGTTAACAGCCGGTTCGCCCGAAGTGGTACGAACCGGCTGAATCCCATCACTGCTCTTATGGTGCTTTGGCTATAGCAGAACTGGGGGTATACGTAGATGTACGTACCTTGGGATGCTGCGACCATCGTAAATACGTGCTAGTCGCCAGGCCCCTGAATTTTGATCACGTGACTGTTAGATGCTGCGACGAGCATAAGTAAGAGGACTGCACTTTTTTTTTTCCAGCACCGTCGTAATTTTGGTCGCTGAAGAAAAGGTGGTAAGTTGAGGATTACTTGTAGGTACAGTCCAAACGGCATCACTTTGCTTTGTTTCAGACGCTTTGCTCATCCAGAGATGACATCCAAAACATTGATGTGCAGCTGTTAAATAATGACACCGTCCAGCACATCCACACCCTGGTGGTAAGTGTTGGAAGCAAAGCATTTTGAGAAATGGCCGGCTGTGCCCCCTACGTCCATATTTTTGGGAGAATTGTGGAGTTTCCTCTTTTCAGAAAGTTCTGCTGTTGACTTTGGTCAGTTCTGAGCTGGTTTGAATCCCTACTTTCCCAAATGGTGAAGAGTAACAATTGGCAACTTCTTTCATCCAGAGGTTATAAAAGGTACCGTTGAGAGCTTGTGATGGATATTTTCCCACCAGGGTTGCCATAGGTAGATACCATAATAATAATAATAATAATAATAATAATAATAATAATAATAATAATAATA